GAATGTGCTAGAAGTCGTGGGATCGTTTCACAGCCAGCTAATCAATTTTTATTTTCTGCCTCTCCGCTAATCACACAGAATTTCGAAGTAAGAGCATCAGACTCGAAATCAGATAAGTGAGTCCGGGAAGTGTGACATGTCTTCCTGCGACCTATTACCTTGTACAGGATCCATATAGACCTTATTGTTGTTGGGGATCTTTACGACTCTTGACTGTTTGACGTGATATAACAATCACTTTTGTTTTGTGGAGTAAAATAAGGAAAAGTATGCGATATCGTGTTAAAATGGATAACAAGCGATAATTGAAGGTGTATTCATATCGCATTAACATGTTTTCGTTCAGATATGGAAATAATGTTTTCTACTGGACGTTGAACAAAAATTCATCATTTCAATTATACATTATTACCCTTGTATACTGTGATGTTTAATAAAGCATCACTTCAATGATACAATGTGACCCTTGCATACTTTTATAGTTAACAAAGCATTTTAAGGAATTTTTAACTTAGCGTAGTTTTTTCTCGCCATTAACAAAGCTTTTAGACGAAAAGAATCCATTACTTTAAAAAAGAAAATTTCGTTGTATTGTGAATTTGTGTACTATAACTTGATACACTGTACTTTGGTGAAGTCTCGTGCGAATATTTCCAGTGATATAGAGATTTTTCATATACTAGAAATCAAAACATTCCAATGTTTGAGGTAACCAGGGAGCATACCTCTAGAACAGTGGATGCAAAAAAATGTCAAAATCAAACGAGACCTTTATTTTAATGGCCATGTCAGTGTGTCAAGTTTCATTTTTTTTTTAATTTGGTCAAGTGGCACTATTATTATTATTTGGAAACCTAAAGGATGAGGACAGACGACTGAACAGATAGATAGAGAATCAAACAGATATCTGCATCACTATCCACCCATTGAAACAGCAAGGTTATAATATTAATAAAAAAAAGATGTAATAATTAATGTTTATATTTCTATTATTAAGTGTTTCATCATCATATTTGTCACCTTGATAATTTACATCAAAAATTGAAATTTTGATACTTTAATTATGAGTGAAATTTAGCAAAATATGCTTATTAAGATTGTTACAGTTGAGAAATATGTAAGACACAATACAATTATCCGTAGAAAAAACATGCCCCACAACCACTTTATACTCCCCTAACCAGATAACCGCATACACCCTAATTTAAATATATATATATATATATATTATATATATATATATATATATTTATCATATACTTGTATAAAATATTACTAAAATTTTACAGTTTAATAACATTTAAAAATATTAAAAGGCTATGAAAGGATTACTAGGTTTATTGATCAGATTCCTAAGCGGGCTGATTAAGAATTTCCTCAGCGGGCTGATAAAGGAACCTTTATTGACTGCTTCCGGAATGTTATCACATGCCTTTCCGTTAATTTCCGTGACGTTTATCACATGCAACGTCGTGCATTTCCGGAAATTTGTTCGAAAACGACAACACAAAGCGGAAAACCGCAAGTGATTTAAGACTTTTCACAAAATGGTTGAGGAGCATATTTTCAAACTAAGTTCATGATAACTGTTGTGACAAGATAAATAAAATGCTTGTAATATCAATAAAAATAATTAAAGTTAAGAAATTTGTATTTGGTTGTCTGTAAATTATTATCTAAAAATTCATGGAAAGACAAAATTTTAATAAATAGTTCGTCTATATTTCTTCTGTTGAAGGATATGATAAAAAGATAATTACATGTCATTTATCATATCAGACCCTTTATCGGCCCTCGTTCATGATATCAGCCCTCGAGCCTACGGCTCTTGGGCTGATATAATGACCTAGGGCCGATAAAGGGTCTGATATGAAAAATGCCATGTAATAATCTATACATATATATGTGTGTGTGTGTCTTAACAGGGACATGAAACCTATATCTATTAAATTTGATGTAAAATATTTTGTTTATTATCCTTTTTATATTATTGATTGGAATAGGTCTGACAGTCTGTCCATCAATCAGTCAAAAAGTTATACAACAGATGAGGATCTAGCATTTGAGGCAAAATGCACTGGAAATCGTCGTTATCAGTTGTCTCTTAAGAATGCTAGAGGTCGTGAGTTTGTTTCACAGCCAGCTAATTAATTTGTATTTTCTGCCTCTCCGATAAACACGACTATTTGAGGTGTATTCATATCGCATTAACATGTTCTCGTTCAGATGTGCAAACAATGTTTTATACTAGACGTTGAATACCAATCAATCTTCTACTATAACATTTACTCAAACTTTTAGATATATTGCACTTAAATGATATAATGTGACTCTTGTATACTGTTATATTTGATAAAGCATTATAAGAAATATTCATCTGTGCGTATTATTTTTTTTTCGCCAATATACAAAACTTTCAGACGAAAACATCTAATTACTTTAAAAATGAACAATGTCGTTGTATTGAGAATTTGTGTACCATTACTAGATAAAATGATTTTTGGTGAAGTCTCGTGTGAAAATTTCCAGTGATATAGAGGTATTTCATATACTGGAAATCAAAACATTCCAATGTTTGAGGTAACCAGGGAGCATACCTCTTGAACGGTTGGTTCAAAAATCGTCAAAATCAAACGAGACCTATATTTTAATGGCCATGCCAGTGTGTCAAGTTTTAAATTTTAAAAAATTTGGTCAAGTGGCACTCTTATTATTATTTGGAAACCAAAAGGGTGAAGGACATACGACGGAACAGATAGACAGAGAAATGGACAGATATCTGCATCACTATCCACCAATTGAGACAAGGTTATATTAATGATAAAAAAAGATATACTTATTAATATACAGAGTAAAGGTATAATGTGTATATTAAAAAAATGATATTAATCAAAAACAAGTGCACACACTGAAATGTCTCTCTTGCTTTACTGACCATGATTCATTTTGTGTTGGAAATCGTAAAGATATAGGTTTTAAAAAGTATCAAATAAAATTAACATTATCAGTGATTCATGACATTAAGGTAAAGGTCAGATAAATCCTGCCAGACAGATATGTATACCTCACAATCAATCCATACACCAAATATAGTTTACCTGTTACTTATAGTATAAAAAACAGACCAAACCATGAAAACTCCACATTGACCAATGAACCATGAAAATGAGATCAAGGTCAGATGAATCCTACCAGACGGACATGTACACCTTATCATCATTCAAAACACAAAATATAGTTGCCCTTTTGCTAATATAGTATTTGAGAAGAAGACCAAACTGGGGAAACTTAACACTGATCACTGAAACATGAAAATGAGGTCATAGACAGATGAAACATGCCAGACAGTCATGTATACCTTAGAATCATTATGTGCACCAATTATAGCTGACTTAATGTTTATAGCTTTTGCTCTCATGACACCCTAGCTTCCTCCACCAATAAAAGTTGACCGCCATGAAATAACACAAGTGTTTAAAGTGGCGTTAAACACCAATCAATCAATCAATCGTATAGTTTTTGAAGTACATTGTACAGACCAAAACACAAAATCTTAACATTCAGCAATGAACCACAAAATGATGTCAATGTCAGATTAAACTTGCAAGACTTACATGTACCCTTTCAATCATTCCATACACCACATAAAGTTGACATAATGCTTATAGTATCTGAGAAACAAACCTTATCACGTAACTCATACCCTGATCACTGATCCATGAAATGAGGTCGAGGTCAGTTGAACCCTGTCTGACAGACGATAGCTATTACAAGGAACCCATGAAAGTATTATGATTATCCTGTCACTCATATATATATAATAAGTAAGAAATTCACATGACAAAATTTTCAAGCAGTCGCTGAACCATAAAAATCAGTCAAGAACAATCAACATATGACAGACAGACACTTCGTAACATAAGACATCTGCATACAAGGTATGAAGCATCTAGATTTTCTACCCTCTGAAATATGAAGCTTTATTTAATCCACCACCGTCAAATTATAATACCTATGTCTCATTTGCAGGCAAGGAAAAAAACTAAGTTTAAAATACAAAATACAATAGTTATGCTGTTATAGCATAAAAACACATCTCTGTATAATGAGAATGAATTAAATCTGCTTTAAATATATTTGAAATAAAGGCAATAGTCGTATACCGCTGTTCGAAACTCATAAATCGATAGAGATAAAAACAAATCCGGGTTACAAACTAAAACTGAGGGAAAAGCATCAAATATAAGAGAACAACGACACAACAAAAACACAACATTAAAATGTAACACACACAGAAACGAACTAAAACATAACAATGGCCATTTTCCTGACTTGGTACAGGACATTTTAAGAAAAAAATGGTGGGTTGAACCTGGTTTTGTGGCATGCCAAATCTCCCGCTTTAATTGCAACGCCAAACACAACACCAAAACGACAACATCACATGACAGGACCACAATACAAATAAATGGGAGAACATATAGGACAAAGAAACACACGAATAATAGCTAACAAAAGGTACTAGGCTTAAAATTCAATACACCAGACGTGCGTCTCGTCCACACAAGACCATCCAGTGACGCTCAGATGAAAAAAGCTTGAAAGCCAAAACAAATACAAAGCCGAAGAGCACCGAGGACCAAAACTTCCAAAATGTTGCGCCTAACACGGCTAGGGTTTTCTGCCTGGGACAAGAACATCCTTATTATTTAGAATAATTTATAATTTTGCAAACAGTAAATTTTATAAAATGACTATATAATAGATATACATGATAAAACCGAAGTAGGGACCAACTACAGAATAAAAACGGATACATTACATAAAACAACTTAATCCAACATATAAAAATACACAGCCGAGTTAGCCAAAGCATCATAAAAAAGATACTGGTAGGTCTTTGAGGTAATATTTCACTAACATCCATTTCAGCTGCAGTTAAGACGCTCAAGAAAAAATCCAGTTTCCAATGTAAAGCTTTGTCTTAATCAAACAACATGTATAGGACAATGATTTATTTAACATCAAAACAGGTTAGAATGTCTCTATTATCAGTCATAAATAAATAAAAATGTTACTACATATAGTGAATATTAAAACCAATTATAACATATATATGCATTAAGTTCTCAATAATATGACCATACATACTCGATCTTCATCATACTTATTTTTTTCTTTATACGATTTCCATATAGCAAGTTAGAATTTTATGAGACACAACAGTATACCTGTAGCAGTTCCAATTGATACAGTGATTACATACAATGATTACAACAAATTGTATTTATAACACACTATGGTAATTTATTATCAATACATTTCAACAGCTTTACCAATGCAAGCATTCATATAATAGTAAGAAACTTACAAAATGAGACAGAATTAGTACGATGATCAATCACATGAATTAAACATGTTCCTAAATGGTATGACTAAGATGGGAAACACAATGTTACATTTAATCAAAGATTTAATACCCAGCATGCATCAACTTTCATTATACATGTTTTATACCAAATTATATATGTTAAAGACAGCATATGAAAATTATCTGAAAACCTCGTCATTCTATCAGTGGTATCGTACGACATTATTGTGTTAGATTGTGCTCAAAACTCTGCAATGGATGGGTTGGTGGCTGTTTAACGTCCAGGACAAATTAAATCCATGTTATTGTGATATGAATAAGAACCCTGATTTGTATTAGATCGACACCCTGATCAGGATTTTAAACTACTTCACCAGGTCTGCAAGAAGATATATGTCACCCTACCCTGACACAATATTCTGACTCTGAGAGCCTACCAGTCTTTGCTCTTATAAGTCATTTGACAGAGAAGCAGCAAATACTAGTTTTGATTTCTTTAGCTTACCCCACAGGGATATAACCCACAACCTACCGCACTTGAGTTGAGCACCCTTCCATGAGACCACATAGGCGTTGAAAACTTTGCATTGACATTTTAACTGAGAATAATAACATCTCATGAGAGAAAACAGAAAAGAAAATCCCCCATACAGGTCTTCATATATAACAGAACACTCCTTTTATTGCTGTTTATCATCTGCACAGTTGTTACAAAAACTGGAAACATTAAAATAGGTATCATTTGCTTTTGTCAATAGTTTACTTTTGTTGATAATTTAATTTTGAACATAAATACATCAATGGGTGCTACATTTCATGCTTTTCCCATAAACATAGTTTTCAGAGTATTTTGTAATTAAAGAGTGTAGCAATAAAAACAAAATATGTATGGTGTTTGGTCTTTACCTTAAAATATCCATACCTTAACGACTATTACTATTTTAATATGTATGAAGGACTTTTCAACAAATCATGCAATTTATTTACTACAATACAATAACCTATATTTTACCATCATCTGTTTGGCTACATTAAAAATTCTAATAATATGCATGGGAGTCAGTAATTGAAAGACAAACATCAACTAGCAACCATAACATTAAGTGGTCCGAAAGATGGGCATGTAAAATGTAATAGGGGTGGCACAACGTAGAAGCTGGAAACTGTGTAGGAATTTACATTTTGCTTATTTAACTTATTACTTTTTTATTGTATCTACTAAAGAGGATTAAAATTGAGAACATTGGATTTGGCACCATTCAAATATATTACAAAAGCATTCATTTAGCAACCTCCTTTAAAACACTCACAGTAAATGGTATTGCAGGATAAAAGTTAATTACTGGAACAGAAGACAGAACGAATATAGTAGGAGACAAGATGGTATGGTACAAAAGAGAAGTCCTTGGATATAAATTTGTTGTCTATATCATTAATTGGTTTTGTTATCATTAGAATTGCTTGCCAAAGGGAGGTTTTGCAGCAAGTGTTATTGAATGAATGTGGTTAAAAAAAGTCACAGAAAAAAGTCACAGGAACAAAAGGCACTGTTAAAGAGGCCTCAGGAAAAATAAAGTCACAATAATGAGAACAAAAAAATAGTAAATTTGGTATATAGATTCACTTTTTGAATATAATTTTTTGAATAGATTTTCATTAACCTGTAGGCAGAAACATGTATATATTTTTTTTCAAATATCCAAGGACCATAAAAGCTACGATTCTGCAGCTACTAAATGGTTCAAAGAAAAGAAAAGGAGATGAGACATCAACCCAACAACACCATAAAAAGACATACAGCAATCTATATCTATATCTATAAATTTATATAAAGACAAACTTGAACACAGTGATCTGAACTTTGAATGAGACCTGTAAAGAACAAAAACATTCATTCGATATAGAGATAGAATAATGAGTAAAAAGTAAAACTGTGAGCTATTTTTCACTAATAATGCTTCAGCTGTCATGTATTTGGTTAACATGAAGCTGAAGAAGAGCAATGAAGATAAAAATGCACCACACAGTGTTGCATCTTCACATGAAGCTTGAAAACAAAGTTTAAGGCATCTTTTAGTAGTTCCCTAGAAATTTAGTACATGGCCATTATGTATTAGTAAATATAGGCATCCAGTAAACAGGAAATTGAGGAGGGATGAATCTGAATGTGCATGCTAACATAAAGCTTGAAACCAAAATTCAAGAAGCTCTAATTTGTTGTTCCTATGAATATTTGAATTGAACTTTTATTGAAGAGATGGACTGACATATGCACTGATGGACAGACAGGGATCATACAGTATACCAGTACTTCCTCCTTCAGAACAGTCATATAAAATATCACCCTGACAATTTGTTACCTTTATATAAAAAGTTCCCCTCTATCCAATAAAAGCAAAGCACCTCATCCCAAATATAAATAAAATAATATTGATAAGAGAATTCATAAAGTAACTTCCCTAACCGAAACCTACATATGTAAAGTAATCAAGCTTACTTCTTAGTATTACTTAATGTCCACCTATTGAGCAAAGTATGATTGTGATTTTTATAAGAGCTATTCCAGAAAAATTGTATGGGAGAACAAATGAAATAAAAATTATGGGTAGTTGGGTATAAAAAAACTGATTTCCAACCCCCATCCCATACATTTTTTTTTTTAATAACCCTGACATGAATGCTCCTAATTTTTTGCCTAATACCCAAAACATCATGTCTTATTTCAAACAACAAGTGCTAAAGCCAATATTGTCTAAATATGAATATCTGAAATGATATAGATAAATCTATACCTAAATACTAACTTTTTGTTATAAAGTAGGATCTCTTCATATTTTTTTTCCCTTTAGAATTAAGAAAAAGAATACAAAACAAGAACCTTGAACTGAAATTTGGAGGACATAACATAGCATGTTGATATAGCATAGATATGTGGCATATCATAGGAATGATGATCAATAACAATTAATAGCACTTTGGTCAATAAATTAAATTGCACATTCAATTATCACATAGTAAAATGTCTTGTGTAGTCATATTCTATCGTTGGAATCACAGCTTGTACAAACTTCAAAAATATCATCAAATATCTGATAAACGGTTAAGGAAATAAATTATCTTAAAGAAATCTATAAACATCATCCACATATGAGCTGTGTCGGAGAGAGTATATATGTACATGTATAAGATTTTGATTAATTTTGTAACATTCAAATACAAAATAAAAGATGATTTAAGTGAAAATAAACAGAGATCATCTCAAAAAAATAAATATATGGAAAACTACAAAACCTACAGAAATTTGACCTCTTCAAAAATAGGGTCAACTAAAAGACAACACTTTGTAAACAGTTTAAAATTGATCACGATTGCAAACAGATACGGAAACACCTAAGATCTAAATCACTCGGGCAAAAATAATATCACCAGTCTTAAAACAAATAATGATTATATTATGAACGTGACAGGTATTGTTGAACATCTTAATGATCAATTTAGTTCTATAGGTCATAAATTAGTGCCTAATCCCAAAACAATTTTCTCTTCAGATTCTGCATCGCTTTTGAAGAGCAGAATAAGCAAAAATGTCTCTCATTTCCTCTGTTCTGTTTCAATATCTGAAGAATTCAATAAATGTGTTAAACTAGATGTTAACAAGTCAACAGGGCACTGTAAATACACCTATTATTTTAGTCAATGGTATTTGTCTACCTGTACTATATATGTGCTCTTGTATACAGTGTATTAGTATCTCTTTGCTTATCTATTACCTTTTTGTTAATGTATTAGAAATGTTTTATCTTTTAAAATTTTGTTTTCTTATATGTAGATGTAGAAGGCCACAGGGCTGATTAACTGTTTTGTTAACCCTGTAACCTTCTGAAAATAAAGACCATAACATTAAAGGCTTTGAAATTAAGATAGATGGGAAAACACATTTATTAAAAATCAGCCAACTTGCAGATGACACGACACTTATTTCTAAAAAACACAAAAAAAACAAAAAGACATTTCAAAAGTTTTAAGTATGATTGAAATTTTTGGCACATTATCAGGACTTAAATTAAACAGATCAAAAACAGAAGGCATTTGGTTGGGGAAAAAACACTGTAAAGAAAAATATGAAAACATCAACTTTACAGACAAACCAGTGAAATGTTTAGGAGTTTTTTTTGGTTGTAACAAAAATGTGTGTCAAAAACTCAATGCTGAAAAACAATTAGAAAAATCTGAGAATATAATTAAAAACTGGGAGAAAAGAAATCTAACATTGTTAAGAAAAATAACAGTTATCAAATCACTGATTCTACCCAGTATTACTTTTTTAGCATCAGTTTCACACATTGAAAAAGAATACATTGATATATTTAAAAAAAAATTTATCAATTTTTATGGAAAAGCAAAGTAGAAAAAGTTAAACGTAAAGTATTAAGCTACGAATTGCTAGATGGTGGTCTAAAAATGATTAACATAGATAAATACATAGAATCTATCAAAATTGGGTGGATTAAAAGATTAATATATGGAGATTTAGCCAACTGGAAAGTTATAACATTATTGTATTTTAATAAATTTGGCAAAAACTTCTTTATCTTTCATATGAACATTGATGGTATTAACTCAATTCCAGGTTTAAAGAAGCTGCCAGAATTTTATTTGAATATAGTAAAAGCATGGGTAAAAAACAAAAAAATAGAGCAGCCAAAAAACTTTAGATCTATTTTCTCAACCAGTAATTTGGGGAAATCAATTCATCAAGATAAAAAAAAAAGCCTTTTATTTCAAAACTGGATAAATAGCAATATCATCTATGTAAATGACATTATAGATGAAAATGGTAACATATTGGAGAAACATATTTTACAAAAGCTCAAGATTAAATATAATTGGATGTCAGAATTTTCTCAATTGAAGAAAGCTTTTTCAAAAGAATGGCTAAATATTTTTCAACAAGAAAATTCAAAGAAAACTAAAGTAAAAACAAATCATGTTTTATACATTAAGAAGAGTTGTAATTATATAAAAACATTAGAAAATTTAGACACTAAAAAAATTTATAATATATTTATTCAGAATGAGATTGAAATGCCTGTTGGTTTTAACCGATGGAAAACAGTGTTAAGCATTGAGTATATTAAGAGTTCAACATGTAATATATTAAAATTTGTTCATCATTATTTGAAAGAAAATAAGTATAAAGTGTTTCATTGGAAATTGTTACACTTTATTCTACCTTGTAAAACTTTATTAAAACAGTGGAATATCTGCAATACTTCAAATTGTCATTATTGCAATACCACTGAGGATTATGATCATATGTTTCTGAAATGTCACTTTCTTGATGACTTCTTGAGTAAAATAAAAAATCTTCTTGAAAAACTGAATATTGATAAAAATATTCTAACATTGAAGAATTTAGTATTTGGTTATAAAACTAATGATGAACAATATTATGAAATAAATTATTTGATTACATTAATAATGCTTTGTATATATAAAGCTAATTACATGTCTGAACAGAAAACAGAATCTATAAATGTGTATGCTGTATTTAAAGCAGAATTTATGTATAGTTACAAACTGCAGGCAAAATGTAAGAATACAAAATATAAATGTATTCTAGATAAAACTGCCAAATTGTTAAAATAATTTCTTTGTTTGAGAAGTATATGATCTAGCAAAAATAAATGGATGAATAAATTAATAAAAGAGATAAATTTTACAAATTACACATCTGGAACTGATCAGGTAATATAAATTTTACCTTTCACTGCTACATGTGATGATTGATAAAGGGACTGTTTACTGTTACAAAAAAAAGATTAAAAAATGAAATATTTATTTCATCTTAATCTTCTTTATACTACAGATAATTTTTAATTCAGACATACATGTGAATATGCTATATCACATCTGTTTTTTCATTTTTTAAGTCATGGCCGGTGTGACAATTTTGTTTTAAAACCAGGAAGATATATGATAGAAATCCAATTCACACGTTTATAATATAAATATGAAAAATTTCCGGAAACAATACTCAAAAATCAATTATTGCTAGATATATATAGTAAATTGTTAAACAAAAAAGTCTCATTGATATATACTTGTTTATTTCATTGCTGATAATTTTTATAAATTAACTGTTAAATTAAAACTAATGTTAATTTAATATAATGATGCTTACCAGAAAACAACCCTGGATTCCTAGTATTAACAAACAGGGACTCTTCACTGGAATGCTGGACTAGTGAAGTACATTGTTAACAGCAGAAAGTGCATTTAGTTGTTGTTGAATAATAAAAAAAGAAAAGAAAGAATTTATATTATTAAAAATTCTAAATATAAGATATATAAAGGATACACATGTACTCCTAACTCCCCACCTCCATCTGCTACCATCTGTATTATCTTCTTCATAACATCAGCATGTCTGAAAACCAAAAATCACAAAACATAAAATGTGACAGGAACCTTGTTATTGTGTTTGTTTATATCTGAGTGTATTTTTTGTTTTAAAGAATTTGATGTTGATATCATGTCATTGGTCATCTCTATTTCATAACTTGTCTACCTATAGTTGTATTTTCTGTGATTATTGTGTTGTTTGGTTGCTGTGTAACTGTCATACACGCCACATCTCCTTTTATTTTTGTTATCAAATTTTAGTATATATAGTTCCAGAAGCACTAATTGTATAACTCTATCAGTTATCTCAATAAGATAAGACAATCTGATTTTAATTAGTCAATAATTACCCTTACAAATTTCTTCCTATAAATTTCATTTCAGTTTACAAGCATTGAATTTATACCTAACTAATCCCAAGCTGTTCAAAAAGGCTCTCCTTTCCTGCATGACAATACCTAACTAAGAATGGCAAATGGCTCAAAAGATAATATCCAACAACTAGAATAAATGATGACACATTGGTTTTATGACATTGGACATAAGAAAGACCATAATGTGAGATTCAGTTGTACACAATATTGTATCTGTTACTATGTTTAAGAGGGTACCCAACACTTTGACTAAAATAGATTTGGCTAGTGTAATTTTCATTAAATTTTGAAAAAAAAATATTTACTTTGACGTGTTGACAAAAATATAATTAAAAGCACTATAAGCGCTGTAGGCAGTCAACCAAAAACCAAGGCAAACGTAATTATGAAAACTGTGGCAGTGTTGCTTCAATTTTTTTTTAAGATTTGAAAGAACAAACATTAAACATTCGTATATTGTACATTTATGTTCATTAAATGAATTGATTATTAAGGCATTTTAATAAATTTTTCATCAAGGTTTTCAAAAGCAACTCATATATCAATGTAAATGACCCCCATCTTCACCCCCAAGTGCATGATGTTACTCCATACCAAGTTTGGAATAAAATGACGGGTGATTATAAAACAGTTGGTCAAACATTCTGGGCTTTACACTGCTTGAAAGATTTATCTGTTTTCTTTAAAATGATCCATAAATGAAAATTATTATAGGCCCAGAAATAATTTAATAAATAATTAAAGTAAATTCAATTAACCTAGACTCATCTTTTGCATCAATAAAATTTTATAATAAACAAGAAATAATTGTAACAGGATGCCGTTACGAAGTCTCCCAAACATAGCCCCCATTATTCCTCATTCCCATGGTCTCCTGACATTGGGCAAAGTCCAGTTCATATTGGTTTGGTCTAGTAAAGTGATATGCATATGTGACACCTAGGAGATTGACCCTGTATGTCATTCAAATCTTTTTGAAATGATGAACAGGAATAAATATGGTTTAGGTGTGGGTATCTCGACCGTTTACAAGTTCTCAAACAGGAGGGGGTGGGGTGACCCCAGGGACTCCCCCTATATTTCATTTGATTTGTTATATTGTCCCATACATGAATACATATGGTTTAGGGGTGGGGATCTCGACCATTTCCAAGTTCTCAAACAGGAGGGGGTGGGGTGACCCCAGGGACTCCCCAAATATTTCATATGATTTGTTATATTGGCCCATACATGAATATATATGGTTTAGGGGTGGGGATCTTGACTGTTTACAAGTTCTCAAACAAGAGGGGGTGGGGTGTCCCCATGGACTCCCCCCATATTTCATTTGATTTGTTTTATTGTCCCATACATGAATATATATGGTTTAGGGGTGGGGATCTCGACCATTTCCAAGTTCTCAAACGGGAGAGGGTGGGCTGACCCGAGGAACTCCCCATATATTTCATTTGATTTTTTATATTGTCCCATACATGAATATATATGGTTTAGGGGTGGGGATCTTGATTGTTTACAAGTTCTCAAACAGGAGGGTGTGGGGTGTCCCCAAGGACTCCCCCTATATTTCATTTGATTGGTTTATTGTCCCATACATGAATTTATATGGTTAAGGGTTGGGGATCTCAACCATTTCCAAAGTTCTCAAACAGGAGGGGTTTGGGTGACCCCATGGACTCCCCATATATTTCATTTGATTTGTTATATTGTCCCATACATGAATATATATGGTTTAGCGGTGGGGATCTCGACAGTTTATAAGTTCTCAAACAGGAGGGGGTGGGGTGACCCCAGGGACTCCCCTATATTTCATTTGATTTGTTTTATTGTCCTATACATGAATATATATGGTTTAGGGGTGGGGATCTCGACGGTTTACAAGATAAAAGTACATTTTCAAATTGAAGGGGGTTGGGATGACCCCCAGGGACTCACTCTATATTTTGGTTGATTTTTTTTATTGTCCTGTTCTCATTACTGAAGACTGCATGTGTCTATCACTTACTGTTTTAGAGAAATAGTTATTTGAAAATTTAAAAAAATTAAATCCCATAGGGTTCTATAGTAAACCCCTCCCTTCTTCAGTCCCCCCCCCCCACAATATCCCTAAATAGACCCCAATGCACAAACAAAAGATTAATGGCTCCACTAGACATGTTAGTCTTATATTTTATGAAACCCTAAGTAAATCTGACAAACGGTCAAAGTTGACTTCTTAGACGGTTTGAGTGGATTCGGTCCGACTTGTCTCGGGGATGAGTTGTCCACATTACTTAAAACATCCCATCAATGTCGATTTCCGCATCTGTTTCATGACCTCGTTTCATTCATAAAATAACAACAACCTTATTTGGCAAGATAAGTTAAAAATTACCGCCCACTTATATAACTCTATTTCCTCTATCATAGAGATTTGTTGTACATGAACAATATTCCTGTGCATTTTGCCATTTGGGAAATATAAACGACTTGTAATTACCGATTTTCAGCGATGAAAAATTTTCATACAGTTGTGTCTTTGACATCGTAGCCAAAACACAAGGGATAATAAACTACGTACCGGTTTCTATTGAGCACTACTTCCTATGTGCAACTTCAAAAGTTTTGGGTAGTTCGACGATCATTTAAGGTTTTTCTGGTCATATTTTTTGTATTCCAGAAATAAAAGTATTAAAAAAATGTCCAATTAGTTATAAATAACATAATAGCCAGCTAGATAATAACAATGGCACGTATGTCAGCATTTATTGGGTAGAACTCAAATCTAGGGTGCTTGCATAAGGCAGCTTAACTGCCTAAAAATTTAAAGAAATTTACACCACACAATTTACAGGAATACAATTCAATTGGATGTATAGCAGTTTGAAAAACACTAATTTTGATACTCATAGTATGTGATTAAAAACTTCAGCTGATTTTTAAATAGTTCACTCCCTTAGGTGTTCTGTTCCCCTTATGTAGGATTGAATTCGTATAATTATTTCAATAGTTTACCTGCATGGATGAACTGATGCCATTGGTGGTCCTGGTAAATTCGGATGTGTCTCCATAGTAACTGTTTTCTTTGCATGATCTTGACTAAAATCTTCATACATTTGTTCTACAGTTAATGGTTTTCTATTCTGTAATTAATTTAGAAAAATATGATTTGCAAATCTTTCAATTCCTGTTTAGGCAGTCTTTTTCTGGGACTTTTATAAATTACTATGCAGTAAGGGTTTTTCTAATTATTGAAGGTCGTACAGTGACATATTACTGTTCACTTCTAACGTCTCATTGGCAATCATACTTTATCTTCTTATTTTTATATTGACTAATTTAGAGCTACAACATCATATGTTATTCATGGTTTAGACAGGGTATATGATGTGACATCCCTTATATAGGGTTTTTATAATCACTGAGCCTTCACCATACCCATACAGCCATAACCTAGGTGTTTGGTAAAATTTGTCATATGTTATATTAAGGACTTACTTCATCTTACCCATATAGCCATAACCTAGGTGTTTGGTAATATATGTCATATGTTACCATAAGGACTTACTTCATCATACCCATATAGCCATAACCTTGGTGTTTGGTAATATTTTTAATCTGTTACCATAAGGACTTACTTCATCATACCCATATAGCCATAACCTTGGTGTTTGGTAATATTTGTCATGTGTTATATTAAGGACTTTCTTCATCATACCCATATAGCCATAACCTTGGTGTTTAGTAAAATTTGTCATATGTTGTATTAAGGACTTATTTTCATTATACCCATATAGCCATAACCTTCGTGTTTTTTAATATTTGTCATATGTTGTATTAAGGACTTATTTCATTATACCCATATAGCCATAACCTTGGTGTTTTTTAATATTTGTCATATGTTGTATTAAGGACTTACTTCATTATACCCATATATGTTTGGTAATATTTGTCATATGTTATACATTTATATTAAGGACTTAATTCATCATACCCATATAGCCATAACCTTGGTGTTTGGTAATATTTGTCACATGTTATCTTAAGGACTTACTTCATCATACCCATGCATAGAGCCATAACCTTATTTATGGGGCTTGGTAATATTTTTAATCTGTTACCATAAGGACTTACTTCATCATACCCATAGAGCCATAACCTTGGTGTTTGGTAATATTTGTCATATGTTATCTTAAGGACTTACTTCATTATACCCATATAGCCATAACCTTGGTGTTTGGTAATATTTGTCATATGTTGTATTAAGGACTTACTTCATCATTACCATATAACCATAACCTTGGTGTTTGGTAATATTTGTCATATGTTATCTTAAGGACTTACTTCATTATACCCATATAGCAATAACCTTGGTGTTTGGTAATATTTGTCATATGTTATCTTAAGGACTTACTTCATTATACCCATATAGCAATAACCTTGGTGTTTGGTAATATTTGTCATATGTTGTATTAAGGACTTACTTCATCATTACCATATAACCATAACCTTGGTGTTTGAGGACTTACTTCATCATACCCATGGCTTCCAAAACGGTCATATATACTGGACATTTATAAATTTACCGGACATTGTCCGGCTGGTAAAAGCATGAAAGGGATATCTACTTTTAGTTTTCAAGGATTTCTTAAGAGACGGTCATTTTGACATAATTCCAAAAAAAATTGGAAGTTTATGCGATCTTTTTGACCCGACCTTTTGCCTTAAACAGCCACACATTTCCAGTCATAAAAGTGACATGATGAATAATTACTATCAAAACAAACCCTACTTTAATACCTTCTCATTTTAATCAAGGTTAATTAGTTGTCGGACAGCTGAAATTTACCTTTTCAGACGACAGGTAAACTATTTTGTACCGGACATCGATCGGTATATTCAAAGTTATTTTCTTACATTGCAGCGGTTTGCATCTAATTAATTTAGTGTAAAAGATTGAAATTATAAGAAATATGTTTATAAATATGATTTGATGAAAATTTAAAAAGGTTTTAAACGAAAAATCGTCAGAACCACGTGGTTTGAACTAGTACATGTGTGCACAGGTGGGAAATTCTTCAACAAGAATGCACACGCTGAAATGTCTCGCCTTCTTTACTAATCATTGATATTATGTTGATAGTTCTAAATATAAAGCTTTACTACAACTATCACATAAACTTAACATGATCCAAGAAAATGAGGTCAAGGTCATATAAACCAAACAAGAAATACATGTACACCTTACAATCATTCAATACACTAAATATAGTTGACCTATTGCTTATAGTTTTCAAGATACAGACTTAACCAAGAAAACTAAACATTGACTAATGAACCATGAAAATGAGGTCAAGGTCAGATGAACCATGCCAGACAGACATGTACAGCTTGCAATCCTTCCATACAACAAATATAGTTGACCTTTTGCTTATAGTAATAGAAAAACAGACCAAAACACAAAAACTTTACCTTGAGCTATGAACCATGAGGTCAAGGTCAAATAATACCGGCCAGACTGACATGTACATCATAAAATATTTCCATACACCAAATATAGTTGACCTATTGCATATAGTATTAGAAATAAAGACCAAAACTCAAAAATTTAACATTGACCACTGAACCATGAAAATGAGGTCAAGGTCAAAAGACACCTGCCAGCTAGACATGTACACCTTACAATCATTCCATACACCAAATATAGTAGACCTATTGCATACAGTATAAGAAAAACAGACCAAAACACAAAAACTTAACTATAACCACTGAACCATGAAAATGAAGTCAAGGTCAGATGACACCTGCCAGTTGGACATGTACACCTAACAGTCCTTCCATACACCGAATATGCTAGACCTATTGCTTCTAGTATCTGAGATATGGACTTGACCACCAAAACTTAACCTTGTTCACTGATCCATGAAATGAGGTCGAGGTCAAGTGAAAACTGTCTGACAGGTATGAGGACCTTGCAAGGTACGCACATACCAAATATAGTTATCCTATTACTCATAATAAGAGAGAAATTAACATTACAAAAAATCTTAACTTTTTTTCAAATAGTCACTGAACCATGAAAATGAGGTCATGGACAATGGACATGTGACAGACGGAAACTTCGTAACATAAGGTATCTATATACAAAGTATGAAGCATCCAGGTCTTCCACCTTCTAAAATACAAAGCTTTTAAGAAGTTAGCTAACACCGCCGCCGCCGGATCACTATCCCTATGTCAAGTTTTCTGCGACAAAAGTCGCAGGCTCGACAAAAATGCTAAAACTATCATTGATACCTTTATCTAACATTCATTTCGAGTATTTTCGTATCCGTCTCTGGTCCGTGTTTTACCATTGTCAAGCGAACATTCGGTAATAGGAAAATGTGCTTTTTAAAAACGAAGGTAAAGTTTTTGACAACATTATTTTGCACAAATAAAGAGTCTAAGGCAGAATTAGTACGATGATGTTGCACACTTCGAATGATGCACTGTCAATTTAACAGTTTACGTCAGAACATCGAATTTATATCAAAGTAAAGTTTAATATCAATTTAATGTCAATCATTGTTTATATGATGGCCAACTGATTACCATAATTGCCTTTTGTTACTAAGTATAAAGGGATTAAAATCGGGATAAGATATAAAATGTCTGGGCTGGCTCAAATAATTTTTGGAAGCCCTGAAATAGCCATAACTTAGGCGTTTGAGGACTTACTTCATCATACCCATAAAGCCATAACCTAGGCGTTTGGTAATATTTGTCATATGTTATATTGAGGTCATAGGTTCTGGTCTGTAATATACCACTCTCTCCCCCAGGTTCTGAGTCTTGTCGGGAACACTTTTCTGGTTGTAATGTGGCCTGAAAGAAGTAAACATTATAAAATCAAAATATTCTTGTACCAAATACAATTATAATCAAAGGAAGAACTACCTACTTCTTTTTCATGATTTCTGGGGCCAAACCTGTTAGTAAGGTTCACTTTTGGCAATTTTGTTGTCTCGGAATTAAATCGTTCTTAAAAACAAATATTTTTGTGCTATTTTCATGATGCTAAGCATAACAAAAGACTAAGTACCAATTTTTATGGTTTTTCCCTTCGCTATTTTGCTCGTTTGCCAAAAAGATTCACATTGTGGCTTGCATCTGATATCTTATGATATCAATGTGTAGAATACCGGATAATACATACAGATTGTGCTATTAGGCGATAATACTTTATTTATCATCAGATTTAGTGAGTCTTTAATTTTGAAGAAGGAGGAGTATATGTGACAGGAAAGAAACTGTATTCTTACTCCTCCCCTTATTCAGAAATTAAAGTTATATCCTCTTTTTACACGTCGCTGTATTAACAGAAATTACACTCCTTCCCATTATCAGATTCTAAAAATATGTTTCTGTTTTAATATGACACTGTATTTACTCTCCTCCTTTAAGGAATACACTTATTCATAGATCCATTACTTTCTATGCTAAATTCTGCAATTTCAATCATTCAAAGCTATTTTGTTTTAAGTTCAAATAAAGTGAACTAAAAAACTATACCTTATCCTGACTGAAAAATTCAACATCCCTTTAATTGCATATAAGAGGGTACAGGTTCCTGGAAGTTTGGTAGTACAAAAACAGGTGCAATAAAGCAAATATTTCCTATTTCAATTTCCTATTTTTTTTATTGTTAAATAGTTTATCAGCAAGGGTTAATCATAGATCCCAAGTCCTTTCATTTGATACCAAAATTAACCAAATACTTAGTAGGAACTATTTTGTTTAAAATATGTGGTTTTATACCTTAATCAGATACTTACATTATCCTCCTCCTCTAACATCCCACTTTTTTCAAAATCTTCCATGTCCATAGCGTCTCCGTCATCCTCGTCTCCATCATCATCATCATCGTCTGGATTACTGACCTTTTTACTGTCCTTTAAATAATGAAAGTACGATGTGTAATTCAGTAACTGCAAACCTTATTGGTAAAGTAGATTAAATGATTTAATGCCCACATGTTATAGCTGAATGGATATATATAGTTCCACATGTTATAGCTGAATGGATATAGTTATACATTAATCACTAATGCCCACATGTTATAGCTGAATGGATATAGTTATGCATTAATCACAACAGGTAATCAAAGTGTTAAATCAGTCACAAGGAGACTTAATCAACAAGTCATCTAGATAACAGTTTTTAAACATGGTTTAAACTTTTGAGGAAATTGTTTTTATTTATGAATAATACCATGAATTTTAGATTCTACTGGATTTATCATCATAAAATATAAATACATGTAGTTATGTAGAAATGATCAATCAAATATTCATCTTTTCTTTATCAGGACAAGCATGACAAAAATTAATCTAGAAATAACAAAAAGACAGTCAACAATGTAAATAAAATAAAATAAAACTCCTGCTAAAATCAATTATCTTCACACACATTCCTACAATAAAAAAATGTAGAAAAACAAAATTGTAGACTCTGGGCTTATTATTTAATCGAAAAGTTCAGAATTTACCTTTGAAAATAATTAATTTAGCTGTGCTTTCAAAGATTTGATTTACATCTTTTCTTGATCTGCCTGTCTTATAAATTATAACTGACAAACAGGATTACAACTAAGGTGACAAAGTTCATTAACAACAAATCAAGGATTCATTTCAGAAGACAAATTATCATTGTAAATCATGCACAAGAATGTAACTCCAAGATTACATAGTAATAACATTAATATGCCAGTGTTGCCAAGGGAACAACAGCAAACAGGAACTAAACCCTTTTTCTCCAGGGGCTAGCTGGGTCCCGGAAATACTTTTTTCAGGGGCCCAGTTGAAATTTTAGGGGCCCAACCAATTTTTATTCAACTTCCTGTTGACATTTTGACAATATGGCTGTTTCTATGAATCATTAAATGCTATTTCAAATCCAAGCCATCCTCAAATAGTGTTGATCAAAAATTTTATTCCATTACTTTATAATGAAGAATGGCAAACTAGATATTTTTAAATTTATATTTACGAGATTTTGCGTTTTGTATTTTTTTCATTGAAGATTTTGTAAATAGCGATGCATGGACAAGTTATCATCAAATACGGGCTTGTAATGACTCCCTGGACAACTGGAATGCATCTCTGAAGCAATGCAGATTCAACATTTTAGATGAAAACACTACAAAATATTGAAATAATCGTAGAAGCTTTTAAGAGAGATAAGAGTAAGTGTTTAGAGAAGGAGTATATGTCAAATCGTGACTTCGGTTCGAAAACTTAGTTGTCATACCGGGTTTTGGTTATTCAAATGAACTTGCTGGTTTCTGGAAATTCTCTCTTTAATTTTCCCACTTTGATTAGACGATTAGGTTTCCGTTTGGGAACAGTTTTTTGTTAATATCGTGGTGGAAAGCAAAATATTTTGCAGTCGCCAGCTGGGAGATCAGGATGATAAAATATCTTCTCCCAGCCAAAAATCTGGTTGCCTTAGGCGACTGGGCAACCATTAAGTTAGTCCCTGGCAAAATAGCTGCATTTATAAGGAAAAATAGTTTTCGAAAAGTTTTAACAATTATAAATATACGAGCTATAATTTGACCAAAAGAAGGTCAACTAAGGGGTAAATAGCAGTAAAATGTAGCAAATAACTTCAAATAATCCGGAATATTCATATAAAAACTGTATTTACTCTCTACTTTATTTATAGTAGATTTCATATTGTTTGGTCAGTGATGATCATAGGTTTACAATAGACCCATGGGAATGTAAAGTTTGGTCTCAATTTAACCTATCAAGTTTCAGTGACAAAGACTTCATGAAATGTTGAAAAACAGAAAACAGAAGTTCAATGAATATATGAGAAAAGGCTAAATCAGCCTTTTGGTGAGGTCAGGTAAGAATGAATGGAATTATAGAAATACCAGTACTAAATGTAAGAGTTGTGAGGAATTTTTTGTCACTATAAAAAAAACAAATACATACCTTTGAATCTAGTGTCATTTCAGCAACTTGATCTTGTAAGGAGCTTGCATTTGGGTCTAAAAATATATGACAAATCATTGTTTATCTATATACTGTGGATTCCTTATCATTTGTATGGTACAGGAACTCATTTTCATAGATTTTGAGGGTATAGATGAACCATATTCAAATTCAAACCAAATTCAATGGTTCAACAAGGAAAAAAACTTTCTGTAGGCTTGAATGCATAATTTATCAAAATCATGCAATCAAGTATTCACCATTTGTCAAAAATACAACTTTTACTCAATCCATGAAACAGTAGATGCAAAACCTGAAACTGAGGAGTTACATTGCATTGTAGTTACAACAAATAATGTATGCTTGAAGCTATATTTTGCATTTTGTTCATCATTTTCATGTACACATTTAAATGGTATTTTGATATTGATGAATATTTCTGTCTATAATTATTTAAATACTGCATAAATATCCTTTGTAATATTGATGTAAAATCCATATCTTTCTTATGTATTTGTTTCGGGTTGTGTCTGCTTCCTTTGTTTCAGAGTTTCAGCTAGGATTTTGAGGGCTTTAGTCACTTTTGCATTCTTTGGAAACAAACATTTTTAGGGTAACAGCTTAGGACAGTTTCAATTTTTTGGTTTTTAAATAATGAAACCTGTAAAATGATGTGTATCATCCCATCCTCCATCCTCATTTACTTACCTGTATTGACTCATCCTCCAACCTGTACCACTTACCTAGAAAATGATGTGTATCTACCCATCCTCCATCCTAATTTACTTACCTGTATTGACTCATCCTTTAACCTGTACCATTTACCTAGAAAATGATGTGTATCTACCCATCCTCCACCCTTTTCAGCTTACCTGCAAAATGATGTGTATCCACCTATCCCCCATCCTCATCCACTTAACTGTATTTACCTCTCCTCCACCTTTTTCAACTTACCTGCAAAATGATGTGTATCTACCCATCCTCCATCCTCATCTACTTCTATCACTTTTTCTTGTTCTTCTTGATGGGTATCCACTTGTTTTACTCTTTTGTAGCATGGAACTGAAAACCAACCAATATTTGTGCTTTATTTTTACTGTAAATGTGAAAATTAATCACCTTAAAAATTTATTTGGAATGTATCAATCTGATCATATTATAACAATAACGTACACACATGAGAATGTCATATGTATAGAATCATTATTCTTTTAATTTTGTTCTTGTTAGTCTCACATCATTTACATTTTCCCCTTATATCATGTTATGTTAATAATGCAATATTATACATACTAACCATTTCTAGTAATAAGGAATTGTTTATCTGGAGGTAAATATGGTTTTATTTTAGTTTCATCTCCTTTTGCCCACTGCCATGTAGGGCAATGATGTACCATGTGATCTCCAGCGGCAACAAACTAAAAACAGAAAAATGTCACCATCAATATGTATAAAAATAATAATTTACAGGGAGATAGGATCTCTGGCAAAATTAAAAGAAGAAAAAAAAGAAAAATTGTGTGACTATTGTGTAACACTGATAATTTCAATAAAACTGTGTTTGTGATTTAGATCCTAAGTTCACAAACAAATCAAGACATTTAGAGGTCACAATAAGGTCCTCAAGAATAGAAAAATTGTCTAAATAATATATCAAGTTTTTAATTGTCCCACACATAAATTCCCTAAATGACTAAAAAGTCAAATTATAACTAAAGAGAACTACATTTGTACTGACACATGAACAGAGTTTTTAAACTAATGGATTTCTTTACATTTTCTATCATCAGGTTTTTGTTCTCCATTTTAAAATAAACAGACCCATTGCTTTTTGGAGTGAGTCCTTGAACTTGACAAATGATATCTTCTTCTTTAAGTTTCTAGCTACCTTTCATTAAATGAATAATATTGGCCAGGCGCGGGCGTCAACTTTAAAATGTGATTTGTAATTTACAAGGTAACCAGAAAAAAGAAACAAAATCAAAATAATATGTACATTTGAAAAATAACATTTAGATAAAACTATATACATTTGATAACAATAACAGTTATGGGTAGAAAACAGGGATTAGAGCAGATTCTGGGATCATACTCTTGAAACCCTCTACTGAACTGCATGAAACTATATTTTGTGGCAATTGACTCCAATTTGTATTTGTATATAAAATGAATACATGTATTTATAACTGTCTTTAGATGTTTGTATTTGCCTAAATGAGTGTGGATTGCTATGTCTACATGTACATGTATTTATAACTGTCTTTAGATGTTTGTATTTGCCTAAATGAGTGTGGATTGCTATGTCTGGTTCTATTGTCTTGTGGGATCAAAAGGTTAAATGTAGGTACCGCAACAATTTCGTGTATAATTTTGTAAAAGAAAACAAGTCTGTATCTTAAACGCCTAAATTCAAGTGGTGACCAATTTAGGTCTGTCTTCATATCAGTAACTAAGCTGGTGTTGTGGAAGCGGTTGCATGTGAGAAGTGGGCTGCTCTTCTCTGTGCTTTTCAATTTGTGATTTTTTTAATTTTTGATGTGGATCCCAAATGGTTGAGCAGTACTCTTAATTTCGGTCATACAAGAGCTTTGAATGCATGAGCTTTAACTTTAGATGAGGCTATTTTAAGGTTTCTGCGAATAAATCCAAGAGACTGATTTGCTTTTGATGTCATGTTATTTCTATATATTCATCCCATTTTAAGTTTGACTGAAGCGGTAGGCCTAAATATTTTGTAGAATCAGGTTTTTCGAGTGAGTGATTATGTGATTTGTAAGTGAAGTCTAAAGGTTTTCGTTTTTGAGTTACACTGAGAATGTTGCATTTATCAAGGAGAAAATGCAGGAGCCAGTCCCGCTCCCATCTGCCGGCCGCTTCTAAATCAGACTGTAATTCATTTGAAATCTTGACTCATATCATGTCTTTTCTTAACAACTATAACTAGCTGCATGTAGTTGCTTTTTTAATAGTATTTAAAAAAAATTGTCAATCTTTAATGTAAATATTCTGTAAGACCCAAGTGTCCTGTACAAAGCAATAAATGACTCAAATAATCAAAAACTTAGGAAAAACTATTTTTATAAATACTGTTATCATGCATGGTTATAGAAAATATCTGTGGAAGATCAAAACAGGTACTAATTTACATTTTTGGAAACTCTGGAACATTACATTGGTCCAAAATAATGTTAATATATCTCAGGGTTTAAATTTATTCTTTCACAATTTATAAATAACAGGCTATTATTTGAACTTGGAATTATTTTTAATTATGGAATTTGCATAATATTATGTGTTTGAAATTTTTGATAAATTCCATGTTTATTAAGTATTATTATGTTTTGAGCGGTGCATCACACTTTCCACACAATGTATTTTGTATAGATAGTGTTGTTCACGGCACAGTACATTCTATTGAAAATGTGCATTCTTCTTTGTAATAGAAAGTGTTGTGCGCAGCACAGAACATTATAATACAGAATAAACATGGAATTCATTAAAAATTTCAAGCACAAGAAATAATGCAAATTCCATAATTAAAAATAATTCCAAGTTCAAATAATAGCCTGTTAAATAGTTAACCTCTTTTAAATGTTTACTCTGCTTATTACTTTACAGCATGAAAAACTATATTCATATGATTACAAATTTTACAACAGACTTTGTTCACCTAATTTCATTGTAAGCTACAGTAAGGTTCCATTAACATGTATATATGTGTGATATGTACCTGTACTTAAATATACATATACACTCAACTTTTACACAATAAACTTCTATTTTAAATGACATCAATGAACTTTGAAAATTACATTTAATATCAGAATAATTTAAGATTTGTAAAACCAAGGTAATCATAATTTTTCCAACGATGGTGTACTGAACTCTCAATAAATATCAAATTATCTTTACCTCTTCTGGTGTAAGTACTCCTGTCTCTTTAAATTTGGAATCCTGGAAATAAATATGGAATAATTGTGAAAACTGAAATTCAAGATTTGAATAAAAATGATTTCTGAATTTTCATTTTTCATGATGCATGTATTTTGAACTTTAACATTAAAATCCTTTTCCATGATGTTAGTATGAGGAAAAAGTCATCAATAACCTTAATTTGTATATTTGATTACCAAAAAGAATAATGAGATTGAACATTTTGAATTTAGTCTGTTTGTTTATGTATTAATATGAGTCTGGTGCTTTTTCAACATACGATTTTATAGCAAACAAAATGAGTTTACACCCTTTAACTCACCTAGAGTTGTGTGATATCTATTGTCTGTTTATTGTCCATGCCAATCAAGGTCAATCAATATAAAACAATAAGTTATTACCTGAGAGGGAGCATCTCAAAGTTGTAGCCCAACTTAGTTTATTTTTACACCTTTTCCCAAATAGACTTGATAGGGCTTAACTAGGAATTCTGAGGGCGGCCAAATCAGAAAATTGCGCCACACACACAATCCCAAAACCCCCCCAAAAAGCGTGCAAAAGGGATTACCAAAAAGTATGATGACGAGAAAAACTCACATGCAAAACCCACTTGTTATACACCAATACCCTTTAGGAGATGCTCATGTAGCACCCGTAACTCTAAATAGCAAATCAACAATTTGAACCCACAATTTTATGTTAAGGTTCATCATAACAAATGGACAAAAATGGCTGTATTTACAACTTAAAAACTACTCTGAGTACAGACTAACCTGTCCAGTCTGTAAAGTTTTAAGGCCTGGCATCCACTAGATATATAAAAGTTAAATGCATTTTGTGTTTCAGAAAGATAAAATCTTTTTTGGATTTTGATGGGCATTTTTTTTCGTTTCTGCAGAAGTTGTAAAAATAAAACAAACACCTGAATTTCATTTGATACTGTCCACTCAATTACACCCTTTAACTCACCTAAGAGTTGTGTGATATCTATTGTCTGTTTATTGTCCATGCAAATCAAGGTCAATCAATACAAAACAATAAGCTGTTACCTGAGAGGGAGCATCTCAAAGTTGTATCCCAACTTAGTTTATTTTTACACCTTTTGCAGGAACGAAAAAAAAAGCATATCAAAATCAAAAAAAGATTTTATCTTTCTGAAACACAAAATGCATATAACTTTTATATATCTAGTATATGCCAGGCCTTTAAACTTTTCCAACTGTACAGGTTAGTCTGTACTCAGAGTAGTTTTTGAGATGTAAATACAGCCATTTTTGTACGTTTGTTATGATGAACCTTAAATAAAATTTTCGGTCACTCCCCCCAAGAGGTGAGGGTTTCCTGTCTTTATTTTGTCATAATACCTTCAGCACCGGTGTGAAATACTCTGCTACACCAAGGGCGGACCCTTTCACTGCATTTATCATGTTCTGCATCTTCAAAACACAACAAATCGCACGAAATTGCGATTTCGAAAGAAGAAAACAAAATTTGACCGGAAACCGGAAATTATGTTGTTTTGAATCTCCAATGAAAAAGAGCGAAAAATATTCTTGTCAGATGTGTTATAATGTAAGAGTACTTATGTTCCCTATGGTCATGTCAAAAGGAATCATTGAGCAAGATATGAGAAATCTAGAAAAATTGCCCCATAAAGCCGGAGAAGCGGCAATCCCAGAGTATAGGAGAAAAATCTAAATTAAATCCAAGGGAAAGGCCATATGGAACAAATAGAAAAGACATCAATACAATCAAAAAATGCATATAAAGTATGGAGGTAAAATGGAGCACCTCAAGAAAGAAGTAACGAACTCAAAATAAAAATGACAGCTGCGAAAAGAGTACTTAGAAAAGCAAAAATACAAGCTTATGCCTCTCAGAGAGAATCAACAGCTGAAAAAATTATGAAAGCTTCAAATGCAGATATAAACTTTTCTACAAGCTTATCAACATAGTACAAATAAAAACCCCACTTTCTAATACCAAGATACTGAAACTGAATGATAAGACTGCAGAAGATGGACCAGGCATAATGAACATTGGCAAGAACATTTCCAACAACTAGCTACACCAACATTAGAGCAAAAATTTGACACTGAAAAGCTAGAGCTTCATGTGCAGAAATACAAAACAATATCATAGAAAGCATAGAAAGGGGAAAAGGTCAAGGCATTGATCATGTCAATGTAAAGGAGGTTAAAGTGGCCATAGAAAAACTTAAAGCAGGAAAAGCACCGGATGAGGACGGAATTTCGGCAGAACACTACAAATGTGGGATGGATGCGTTAACTCCTTTTATAGTGCATTTGCTAAATTTAATTGTTACATATTTGGACGTACCAATCTTCCTAAAGACAGGGATTCTTACACCAATCATAAAGAAAGAAAAAGACAAAACATTACCATCTAGCTATAGAGGAATAACTGTAACTAAAACCTTTGCAAAAATACTACAAAGTATACTGAAGGATAGAGTTGACTCTGTGTTTAATAACATACAAATCTCCTTGCAAAGAGATTATACAGAGGGAGTGTCATCACTATGCGCAGCTTTCCTCAAATCAGAAGCAATTGAAGAAAGTAAGAAATTAAAGATACTGATGATTTTAATTATTCTTAATGCAGAAAAAGCATTTGACAAACTGAACTATGAAATCCTTTTCAATAAGCTGTAGTACCATTATGGAATTAAAGGAAAACTCTGGATACTGCTGAGAAACTTGTACAAAGGCATGAGCATTTTAAGGTGAAATGGGTAGGTCAATGTACAGAAGATGTTATGGTGCTACAAGGAATACAACAAGGTGCAAAACTATCTACAACCCTTTATAAATGCTACAACAATGTCATACTGGATAGCATTTTAAAAGTGGACTTGGAGCAAGTATTGGTGATATACAAGTCCCCGCACCTACATGTGCTGATGACATTGCTATCCTGGCAAATAGTGCTGCAGATGCACAAGGAATACTAAACATAGCTCAGCACCACACAAGCAGAAATCTATAGTAAAAATCAATCCAACTAAATCTGAAGCTGTTTTCTACAATGATAAAGGCTTGAATTCATCAACATTGCAATTTAAGATGATGACATCAATATAACCCATGAAACCAAACACCTAGGTATCAAAAGAAACGAGCAAAACCGCTCAGATATCTCAGAAAGAATAAGAACTGGCAGGGCAACAATATACAGACTTCTGGGAGCTGGTTTACATGTCAGAAGATGATTCTCACCCATGGTAGCATACAAGCTATGGGGAACATATGCAGTACCAAGAAGTATCTACGGGCTTGAGGTGATGAACTTACTTGCAAAGGATATGCTAGAACTGGCAGAGAGGAAAATTCTCCGACAAATACAAGGGCTTCCAAATAATACAGCAAATATGGCTGTCTATACCCTGATAGGAGCAGAACCTATTGCGATCACCTTAGACAAAAAACTACTTACCTTTTTCATGATTATTGTTAGAAATTCAGGAACCATTGAATGTGAAATTCTGCGCCGACAAATAGCATTCTCAGAACATAGAGGAAAAGACTTTATCAACAGAGTGGAAAAAACTCTATCAAAATACAATCTGGAATCAAGTAGTTACTATATAGAAAAACCACTTCAGAAAATCGAATGGAAAAGGATACTAGTAATAGGAATAAAGATCAAGGAATACTGGAAAAATGAATGTCACAATGAAAAAATGGAAAAAACATGGCTTAAATATATAGAGATACAGGACAATCCATTAAATGAAGCTCACAATATATGGAAAAGTGTAAAAAAACAATACTAAAGATGTAAAGGCAGGAGAAATAAAAGCAAGACTAAGTACCCAAACGTACATATTCCAAGCCAAAAGAGCTAAGTTCGATCAAAAAGTTAACCCTTTTCGTACAATCTGTTAACAAGAAAATGAAGACCTAGAACATTTTATTCTACATTGCACAGAATTGGAGCAAATAAGATCTAAATGTTGCTAAAAAATCAAACAGAAAATGGATGAAATCGATACTTCAACATACAGGAATATCATACAGCAAGGGAATCTACTCCAGCTCATAATGGACTGTACTAGCAAGGACATAACCTGTTATTCAACTGTGTATGAAACTCTGGCTAGAAATATGTGCTATGAGATGCACATGCTGCGCACAAACAGGATAAAAACTTGATCACAAGTACAGTATAAGTGATAAAATTAAAATTAAATATTTCCTTAATTTTATCATTTTACTATTTTATGATAATTTAAGACCTAAAAATAGCTTCTTCAAAGTTTTCAAGATATATTAAGTACCTTTAAAGAATAATGACAAAGTCTATAAAATAGGTAACTTTAAATTGTGAAGGAACACTTATGTATATACGTTGAATTGTTCTAAACCCTAACCCATTTACATAACACCCTTTTAAATAATCTTTTCATTATAAATTCTGATGTAAGAATAGCACCTTTAACCAACCAATAGAATTTTAAATTTAAAACTAATTTAAACTTTTAAACTTCAAATTTTACTTGTAAATATATTCGGTTCCTACATAACTTTTTCTTACCCCTCAGCACATTATGATTAGTTAATTTTATGGTTTAAAACTGTAATGACTATCCAATGAATTAATAATGGTATTATTGCCTTTATTCATTTATCTGTACATAAGTTTATTTGTTCCCTTATGTTTTAAGGTGTGTATAGTTGCTACAATTATACCCTATGGGTAGTGCTCCGCAATTAATGGAGGAACATACAAGAAACTGAACTGCACATGTCATTACAGGAGACCTCAACATCGTTGAAGACCGTGATGTCAAAACTTTTCTTAAGAAAGGACATAAATATCGTCCTCCGTCTATATTAGATGGGAAACAGTGTTGTCAGGTCATTAAAGACGCTCTGTCTGCCTACTGTAAAAATTGGTGTAAACATGAAAAATCTGATAAAAAATCTCTAGACAGTCACTTGAATAAAATTATGAATTCTGTTGATATTCGTATATCTCATTTTGAAAAAAAAATCTGAAATTAATAATAGGAATAAAAAATAAACTCCAAGTACTATTAAAACGGTTTGTATTCGCACCGGCAGAGCAGCCAACAATGTAGTGGTGGTGTGACGCATATACTACTCAGAAGTTCCCCAAAACGAAATTATCAATTCTTCTGCATTCAGGTCCGTACGCTCCACAGAGAGTCAAATTGTAAACAAGCATATCACTGCCATTACCCAGCTTAAAGCCTCCTCCGAACATTTGAAAGTTCGGACATGTACTGGTTACCTAAATTACACAAACAACCATTTAAATTTCGTTTCATCTCCGCATCTAGTAAGTATTCTACTACTTATCTGTCTAACTAACTACATTTTTGTACCTCCCTTACTACTATCAAAGAACTTATTATTAACTTTTGTAATAAAGTTTATGAAAATAATGGTATTAATTATTTTTGGAGTGTTAAAAATTCTTTAGAGGTTTTAGATAAAATGCGTGCTTTTGATGGTCCTTTTAATTCTGTTGACAGTTATGATTTTTCTACTCTCTACACTACACTTCCACACAATCTTATCAAGAAAAAGTTTTCATATTTAATTGAATGGTCTTTTGAAAAATCTCATTGCAAATTTATTTGCTGTAACGAAAAGGAAAGTATACTAGATACACTTACTGGAAATGTGAAGATATGATTGAAGCTTTAAATTTTCTCCTGGACATCATATATATACGTTTCGGCAATAAAGTGTATCGACAGGTAGTAGGTATTCCTATGGGCACTAGTTGCGCCCCTTTAATAGCAGATTTATTCCTGTATTGCTATGAATCACAGTTTATGGCCAAACTCAGTAAAGACACGCTATTGTTACATTTGGTTGACACAGTCAACAATACCTACCGTTATCTTGATGATATTTTTTTCGTTAAATAATCCAGAGTTCTCTAAATATACTACCGAAAAATACCCAAAGGAACTTAATTTAAATAAATCCAACATAAACAGCAGTAGTTGTCCTTTTCTAGATCGATTTAGACATTTCCATTTCAATTTCTTAAAGGGGGACCCCATACTAAAATTTTCGACAAAAGGGACGATTTTTCATTCCCTATTGTTAATTTCCCTTTTTTAGATGGCGATGTTCCCAGTTTGGCTCCATCATACGGTGTTCAAATATCCCAACTCGTTCGTTATGCCCGTGTGTGTAGTGATGTCATAGATTTTAACGAACGTAATCAATACATCACTGGTAAATTATTAAGTCAGGGATTTCGTTACCATAAATTACTTAAAACATTTACTAAATTCTTTCATAGGTACAAAGATTTGATTAGTAAATTTGGCTGTACTTGTAGAAAACGTATTAATAACGGCATTTCACATCCTAAATTTTACGGTATTATTGTACTAAAAGCGCGGAAATCACTATGTGATCCGCGTGTAAGTTCATCGAACCTTTAAACAAACTTATATTATTAGTAAAGGTTATCTTATTAATGTTGTAATAAGATCTTTGAATATTGTTTAC